GGGCTGGAGTTATAGGTCAATGCTACAGCACTAGCCTAGCACATGTGCGGCAGTGGTTTCAATCCTCAGCACCACATAAAAATAAATACATAAAATAAATATAAATAAATAAATCTCTGCATCTCTAGTCTCTCCCTCCACAGGGGAGGGGAGGTGGCCTTCCTGGTTGACTCCTAGACTGCCATATTTCTCCTGAAATGTTTGTTTTAACCACTAAAGGAATGTCCCATCATAGTAATGTCCCTGGTGTGCTGGCAGTTACCGGCCCAGGAATGGGGAGGTTACCCAAGTCTGCTCGTTGAAGCCCAACAGACCTCCACTGCAGAGCTTTTGGAAAAGATTTTCTTGCTCCTAAGAAACAGCAGAAGATGTAATTTGAATGTGAAATCCAGATCTGCTGCAGCCATCTTTTGACTACCAGGAGAAAATAGACTTACAATCAAGCTCCCGGGGAGAAAGGCAGAGGAGAAGGATGGGAAACCCCTGGCACCTCCACTGTAGCGCCCAGCAGCGGGTTGAACTATGCGTGGAGGCTGCTCCACTGCTAGGTATTCCTTTGGGTGGTAAAACACAGTTCCTTTCTGAGGAAGGTTGCTGTTATATGCTGCCAGAAGCCATCTGCCTGAAGCAGATTGGACACAAGTGTCCCTGTTACTAGCAGCAGCACATGTAAGCTAAGGCATTCGGTCAGTCCTGTACACAGAGGGACTAACCCTCCCCCTGTTCCCCGAAATGTCTTGGTTCATGTAATGTAAGTGGGTTCAAGCCCTCCCCCAGACCTCAAGCAGGATGTACCATCAACTTCTTACCAACTGCTCCAGGCCCTTGGGGAAGAGATGTTACGGATCCAGGCCAATCTCAGTGCACCCTGGGACTTTTGTGAGAATTGCTCAAAAAAGATGTTTTCTGCTCTCCTCCAACTTCATGAGCAAGGAGCGGGGCTGCCAGTGCTGCCTTGCTGAGCCTTTGCAGGTGGCCTGAGATCATCTGCAAAGAGGCCTAATGATGATAATTGGTATCATAAAGATAGAGGAGAGAGAGAGAGAGGCGGGCAGGGTCCTCTGGATGCCACTGTGCCTGCAGCCCCCAGTGGTAAAGTGCAGGGTTGAGAGTCACAAAGTGGGAGGAGATAAGGACTCCAGTCATCAGGTGGGGCTCCATTTGTGTTCCCGGTAGGTGGACAGGTTATGCTGGTTTCCTTCCCCACGGAGATCCTCTGCCTGACTGGAACGGTTTCGAAGTTGTCTTTTACCTGCTCTTTTGTGCAGCCTTCCTACACTCTCATTTGGAAGTGATTGTTTCTTTTCTCTTGCCTGAATGGACAGGGATACTCAAGAGCCCCTTGCACCAGAGTCTCAGAGAACCAGAGTGTGGGAAAAATCAGCAGTAACAAAAAGCTTGATTGGAGTGGAGCTGAATGATCATAGTACACTCTGTTACCAGAGTCCTAGGCCCAAGGCCCCAGCTCTAGGGAGTCCCAACAGACCAGGCTCAGCCCCCTGTCCGATTATGGCAATCAAAGAGAAGGACCAGAAAGAAGCTTTAATCAGCGTGGCCATGCTGGGAAGAACAGATCCAGGAGAGTGGCGACCACAGATCTATCTTCAAGGGGCTGAAAAAACATTAAGCATTTTGTAGAAAAGGGCAAGAAAGGCTAGGGCTGGGGACTTGCAGGGCAGGGAGCGGGTGTACAGCAGGCAGAGAATGTCATCTCTGTCAGGCCACCGTCTGCTTGATCATTACCCTCAAGACTGGTCAGTGAAACCCTGGGAAGGTCATGGCCACCTGAGAGGGCAGTTTGGTTCCCAGGGGGGGATGACTACTCCTGCTTGAGGGGCGGTGATCTCATCAAGGGGTGACCTGTCCTGCGAGGCTCCCTGGTCCTTTGTCATAAAGATGCTTATCAATCAGACATGTGGTTCCTAGGACCCAAGGTCACTGCAGAAGGAAATTGAAAAAAAAAAAAAAGTCAAAGAAGCAGATGGAGTCGGGGTGAGAACGTGGAGTTGGTCTCCCAGGTCCTCCCTCAGGACCAGCTCCTGCAGGTGAACAGAGGTGCTCTGTGATTGTCGCAATCGCAATCAAACAAGAATCTCCCAAGAGGGCAGGGACCTTGCTGAAGTGATAGGCGTAGCTTGGGCACCTGGCTCTTCCCTGGGAGCTAGGTGACTATAGGTGATTTCCACAGTGTCCTTGCGTTTCAATCTTGGCATCTGTCAATTAGGGCGAGGACTGGTCACAGTTCAGTGCCTACACCTGGGGCTGGGGCTTAGAGTGTCTACATAACGTGAAAAGGAGAAAGTTCTCTTCAGAGTCTCTACATTGTCCTCTACTGGGAACTCGGGGGAGGGTCAGTATCGGGACTCCTGGTCTAGGTCCCTGAAAACATGTTGCTTCCTTCCCAAGGCTCCTTGCTTCTCTTGCCCATGGGGGGTGAGGGGTGTCTCTGTTCCCCACACGGTTGTTAAGCAATTCCTGGAAGGGATGGATGCAGAGAATTTTAACAAAAATCGCAAAGCTGTAACCTCGACTGATGAAAACGAGGCGGAGAAAATGGTATTCCCTGGAATTCCCTTTGAGGGACTCATTTCTTATTTGTTTTTTTTTAAAAAAATTCCTTGAGCCAGATGCAGTGGCACAGGCTTATAATCTTGGCAACTGAGGAGGCTGAAGAAGGAGGATCACAAGTTCAAGATCAGCCCTGGCAATTTAGCAAGACCCTGTCTCAAAATAAGAAATAAAGAAGGGTTGGGGGTGTAGCTCAGTGGTCAAATGTCCCTGGTTTCAATCCCCAGAACCACTAAAAATAATAATAACAAAATTTTTTTAAAAAATTAAAATTTTTAACTTTGTGTTTACTCTGGAAAACAGTAGTGGGGGACAACAGAAAGAGTGAGGGTTCTGGGACGTGACCCCTCCTCAGGTCTCCATTGACAAGACCTTGCTTGTAAGAGGCTGGGTCGGTGGTTGCTTTGTGAAACTGGTACAGGGACCGGCTTTTTTCCCCGAGTGCTGACCTCAACCTTCCAGGCAGAGGGACACCAGCAGACCCTGGGGTTAGGTGGCTTTGTTGCAGAGTCCTAGGGGAAAACCCTCAGCAATGGGGCCCCCAGTGGGCCAGCTCCAGTTCCTAAGCTGACTCCCTCTTCTGAGAGTCTGTCTCCTCTCGAATATCCTTCTTTCCCACCTGTCCTGAAGCAAATCCCTATCTACCCTTCAGTAAACCTACCCAGGTGAGATCCACGGCCCCTCCCTCCAGCAGCAGGCTTCTCCAAGTTTGAGTTGGTACATAGTATGTGCACAGTAAATGTTTGTTGACTGTCTGAATCAATAATAATGAGCATGTATATAGCTGGCACCCTGCAGAATAGTCCAGGGTGAAAAAGAGGCTTGGAGGATCTGTTCAGAGCAGGCAGGGGCCCTCAAGTCAGGGCTCCCCTTAGCTTGCAGACACCTGTGAGAGTTTCAGGTACACTTAGGGAACTTCTGGGGCAAACGGATGAGTGAATGGAGTCTTTCACTTACCACCACCTCCCAAAATAGAAAAAAAAACCTCAGGAAGGGCAATAGTCAGTCTCTCTCTCTCTCTCTCTCTCTCTCTCTCTCTCTCTCTCTCTCTCTCGCAATACCCTCCTAAAATCAAACCTTAATTATTTTTCTTGGGTACTGGGGATGGAACCCAAGCGCTCTTAATCATGAGACACATCCCAGATCTTTTCATATTTTATTTAGAGGCAGGGTCTCACTAAGTTGCTAAGAGCCTCACTTAAGTTGCTGAGGCTGGCTTTGAACTCACAATCCTCCTGCCTCAGCCTCCTGAGCCTCTGGGATTACAGACATGCATCACCATGGCTAGCTTAATTCTTTCTTTCTTTCTTTTTTTAAAAGGTGGCTTTTAAAAGAATTAAAATATTTTTAGTTGTCAATGGACCTTTATTTTATTTATTTATATGTGGTGCTGGGAATAGAACCCAGTGCCTCATACTTGCTAGGCAAGTGTTCTACCCCTAACACAACCCCAGCCCCAAACCTTAATTCTTTAGGAGAGTTTTATCTAAACCCATTCAACCCATACAGACAAAGCAAAATATTCTCTTGTAACTCTGAAAATTTGCCAAGTGCCTCTCTCTCCTGAAGAGTTAGCACATGCTCCTTGTTCCACTTCTCTTCACCCAAAATACAGCCTCTTATGTTAGCAGAGGATAAAAGGACCAAAAGTTGGGCCACATACCCATAATGTTTTTGAAATTAGCTGCTGTGACAGTGCTTCCAGAACCTTCTACAAGACTGTTTTACAGGGAATTAACTGGCTAAGATAAAGCACAGGGCAGATTCCCAGCCCACGGCAAGAGCCCCGGTATTATTGAGTCCTTTGCACGGATCTTCCCAGCTCCTAACACAGTATCCAGCACAAAGTCAACACCTTTCTTTTTTATCTATGTTTTTGTTTGGTTGGGTTTTTTGTGGTGCTGGGGATAGAACCTGGCCCTCACGTGTGCTAGGCAGGTGCTCTACCACTGAGCCACACCCCCGGTGCACACTGAATAGATGTGTGAATGCAGTCTCCCGCTCACACCTCCCTGGAACAGAGAAGGCACAAGGAAGAGAAATAAGAGCACCCAGGGGCCAAAGCTGCTGTGACCCTGCTATTTGTCATCCTCGTGACAGCAAATGATGGCACTGCTTGGGCTACATGCTGGCCACTGTGACTCCTCTATCCCATCGACATGTCAACTCATTAGTCCTCACTTGAGCTGGTGGGAACCGAGGCACAGGATAGTTCATTTACCTGAGGTCACACATGTGATAAGCAGTAGTGCCATATTTGGAGCCCAGACCTTCTGCAACCCTGTCCAGCCTCCCAGCTACCGACCTGGCTTAACTCTGGCTGATTAGCGCTCTGTGGCTTGAGGGCCAGCTTCTGCCAGCCAGTCACCCTGCTGTATCGGTTTTATTCTCTTCCTTTCTTTGTTCATTCAACGACCTTTTTTTTCTTCTCATGTAAGACCAGGTAATGTGCTAATGTCATAAGAAGATTTGAAGGAGGAGCGATCTCACACAATAGCACAAAACCTCATCATCATGCTTACGAACCCTAAGAGGGTTTCAACAAGTTTTTATTGAACACATATTATATGCCAAACACGGCTCTAGGTACTTGGGCTTCCTCAGTGAACAAAGATGAAAAACCCTAAGAGCTTACATTTTATTTGGGGCAAGGTGAAGATTGGGGAGAGATAATAAATAATTAATATAATATTTCTGGACTAGGAAAATTACACTGACATGCTCTCTAAATACAGCTTTAAAAAAACTGAACAAAAATATACAAAGGATTTGTTTAAATGCAAAGTGATGGAGGAAGGGAGAGGTTACTGGGCCAGAAGAGATGGTTCCTAATTTGACAAATTTTTTTTTTCTAAAATTTTTTAGTTGTTGATAGACCTTTATTTTATTTATTTATATGTGGTGCTGAGATTCGAACCCATTGAGATATATGCCAGGCAAATGCGCTACCGCTGAGCCGCAACCCCAGTAATTTAACAAATATTGATGCATGTAATCCCCATAATCATCATCTGAATTGTTCTATGAAAAGAATATTGCCTGGTACGTGGCAGTGCTGTGTGTAGTTTGTTAAACTAGAGCTCTGTATATATTATCTCATATAAGCCTCACAACAACTCTATGAAGTAGGTCCTATTAATTACTGTTATATGAGGAAACTGTTATTATGTTAATTACTGTTATATGAGTTTAAGTGACTTGCTCATGGTCACACAGATAGTACATGTCAGATCCAGGCTTTGAACTCAAGCATTCTGAGTCTACAGTCTGTGTGCTCAGCTACCATTCCTGCTACCTCCTTAGAAATATCATCTGCTGTTTTTCTATCAGCTCTTACAGAAAGATCACTCAGGCAGGAATGTTATTATTGTTTTGTGCACAGAGAAATTACTACATAATCTCTATCAAAATCTCATTTTATGCAAAGATGTTTAAAAATACTTACAGGATGAAAAACTGTAACCCAAGGCACAACCTCCAGGTGCTACTCAAACTATAGTATGAAGATTGATGGGGATAGGGATCTCTCTTTAGGCCCATTGCACTGAGACAATCTAAGAGCAAATATCAGGCCAGGCCATTGTAACTACTAGATTCTACCTCTGCTGAGCCAGACCAGGCCAGAGTGCTTGGACAGCAGGACAGGGATGGACAGATGTCCCCAGCGCTCCACTCCCTTGACCAGGGACAGATGTGGATAGGAAGTAATGGTCAGGTCCATGGTGTTCAGGTTCATTTCATTTTGTGACCTTGAGCAAGTCTTTTGTGTCATTGTTGTTGAGCCACATTCCCAGCTTCTTTTTTATATTTTGTTTTGAGACAGGGTCTTGCTAAATTGCTGAGGCTAGCTTTGAGCTCATGATCCTCCTGCCTCCACCTCCAAAGCGTTGGGATCACAGGTGTGCGCCACCACACCTGGCTTGAGCCAGTCACTTTAACAGCATTTTTGCAAAATGGATGTGGTAGTGTATCCCCATGGTTATAAGATGGACCACTGAGAAAGAAAACAATGATCACAGTATGTCACACCCTGTGACAGCATCTTAACAACAGCCCACTGCAACTCAGGTTGCTTTGAAATTCCTCTTAGCCTCCCATGAGAGTCCGCAGTTTCTCCTGTCTTCTGTTACGTTGCTTGGTGTGTGATAATCCATTTTTTTTACCTGTGTTTCAGGAACAAAATGTAATGCAACTTCTACTCGTGGGGCTCTTTGCATCTTAGGTTTTTCAAAGCACTTGCTTGTTGGTTTGTGAAGAAAGAGCAGCCCATTCCTCCAAAGACAAAGGTTGCTTCTACTAATCTCAGCCTCACTCTCTGGTTGGCTGCCTTTCTTTCTACATAATCACTTTTGATCCAAATGCTGAATCATAGTATAATCTTTCAAAGACATTTTCAATAGCACTAAATTCAGTACATGCAGTACCCACCACGGGCCTAAGTTGACGTGAAGACAGTACAAACAGCTCTGCTCAATTTCTCAAATTTGCAAAGAACAATGGCTGGGCTGGGGATGTGGCTCAAGCGGTAGCGCGCTAGCCTGGCATGCGTGCGGCCTGGGTTCGATCCTCAGCACCACATACCAACAAAGATATTGTGTCTGCCGAAAACTAAAAAATAAAATATTAAAAAAAAAAGAACAATGGCTGATTCGCATTGATTGTAAGTTATGCTCCCAACCTTGGGAAATGAAAACAAACAAAAAAAAATGTATGTCTTGGGATTAGTTAAATGTGGTGGTAAATACTTAGATTTTTTTTTTTTCAACTGACAGAAAACTCACTTCAGCAAAAGAAACACATTGAGGCATGAAGCTGCAAAGTGACATTATTCCAGCTTCAGGCATGGCTGATTCAGGACTCTAGGTACAGTCAGGACTCATCTCCCCTCCATTTTTCTCTTTTACAGGGTTGGCTACAGTCTGAGCTGTTACATGGCAACAACACATGGCAGCTCTAGCCCCTTCCTCTTCTGTTTCAAGTCTAGCAAAAAGGAAGGAGTATTTTTTGTTCTACATTTTTTTTGGCCTGAATATCAATGCTTCTCATGGGATCTGACAGGTCACATGGCCAGCCCTGGACGAATTGCTCTGGTTAGAAAGTATCCCCCAAAGCTCAAATGATGAAAACCTAATCACCAAATTCATATATTAATGGTGTTTGGAAGTGAGGCCTTTGGTGCAGAACTCAGATTAGATGAGGTCATAGAAGTCCCGTGTTGGAGTTGGTGGCTATAGAAGAGGAAGAGCCCTGAACTCACAGCTTTCTCCACCATGTTGTGATGCCCACAGAGGCCCTCACCAGAAACCGGCACCTTGCTCTTGAACTTCCCAGCCTCCAGAACCGTGAGGCCTCCAAAATCCTATTCTTTATAAATTACCCAGTTTCAGGTATTTTGTTATAGCAATATAAAACAGACTAAGTCCCCAGTCAAGGTGGTAACAATTTCCACACCCCTCCCCCCTTCCTCCCCCTTCCTCCAGAAGTCTTGCTGGAGCTCATGTGGAGGTCTCCCAGAGGGAGACCAGGGAAGGATGCAGAGATGTGCCTGATAGTAGGCCGACTGCAGCTGGGTAGGATTAGCCTGGGGAGCATAACCCCAGCCCGCCCCTGCTGGGGAGTGTAGCCCTGCTGCTGGAGAGGACCTCTGGCTGCAACCCAGCAATCTGAGTCAGCCTGCAGGCCTCCCTCCCTCGGGGCAGCTGAGCCGGCACTGACTCAGCGCCTGCGTGAGCTGGAGGCCGCCTGGAAAGTTAATAAGCTTCTGAGGCAAAGACATCCCTCCTGTGACGTGGGTTGGTGCCGTGAGTGGGTGGCAATGAATGAAACAGAGTGGGCACGTTCTTAGAGCGCTTATGAAGCTAAGAGGTGCAGAGAGAGGGAGGGAAAGTCAAGGGCAGCCACTGGAAAAGGCCGCTGTGGGGCATATTGCAAATGGCCTTCGGAGGCTCAGACTGTGCACCAGGCTCCTTTTCCACTACCCAGACCCCCCCACGAACCCCCCACCCTCTGCCAGGGCTGTCTGCCCAGCCCTGCCTTCCAGCCTTCCAGACTCTGCCAGTCTGCCCCTTCTCAGCCTAAATTTCTAGAAGCAGGGGGGTGGAATGGGGGTGTAGCTATTGCTCTCCCATCCCAAAGTCTTTGCTGCTTGTGGAGTAGGGGAGACCAGGAAGGAGGCATAGTTAGAAGGGGATCCCTGGGAGAAGGGAGGAAATGGAGGAGATGGAGACAGGAAGGTGTGAGGACTGTAGAACCATCCTGAAGCTCAGTGATCTCCATGCAGAGCTCCTGCTCTGCCCCCAGCTAGGACGGTACTGTCCCTGCCCTCCAGGAGCTCAGAGACTAGTCTGGAAGACAGGAAGAGAAATGGTTAATCACAATGGAATGTGCTAGTGCCTTAGCCCCAGGATGTGGTCTGGGGGCTGAGGTTTGTGGGAGAAAAATTCCCAGAAGGAAGTGCAGCAGGAGCAATTGCTGAGCCAGGAGATCTCAGGTCACGTTGGCCCCTGGCCTGGTCCGGAGGAGTGAGCAGATGGCTCTGGATCACAGCTGCACTGCAGAGTGGTCCCCTGGAGGCAAAGGGACTGGCTTTTACCACTTCTTTCCAGGTTTTGGATGAGGGCTGCTGGGTGGTGGTAGCCTCCCTGACAAGGAGGCTTCTGTGAGCCAAGGACCATTCTCTACATCAGGGATAGCCAGGGGGCAGCTGTGAGAGGGAGCAGGGGACAGCCTGAGAGCTTTATTGGGACAAGGTCACTCTGCTGCATCCTAAAGATCATCCCAAGGGGTGGACCTATACAAAACTGTAGAAGCACAAAGCCCTTTCTGGAAACACTGAGATATTTAAACATGACATTGGGTGCAGGAAGGAAATGAATGGTCAGGGGAAGAGGCCTGACAAATGGCCAGAGGCCAGATCATGACGAATCCAGACAACTTGGTATTAAAGTTTGTCTAAGAGGAACTGGATTCTCACTGCCACCCTGTCCCCGCCCCTGCCCCCACATTTTTTTTTTTTTTTATTGGTGAAGGAACTGGATTCTTATTCCTCCTCATTGCAGTCTTGTCTACAATCATTTATCCAATGTCAAGGTGCAAACCAGCCTGGCTCTGCTCAGCCTGGATCCAAATGCTGCAAAAGTGAAAAGGGGAAGGAGCCTCCAGCAAGCAAATGGCAGAAGAGGGACATAGAGGGGCTGTGTCCCAGGGCTGCCAGCACAGGGGCTGCAACTGGCTGAAAGTTAAGTCCTTTTCCTTGGCGTTCACATTTGGGAAATAGGAAGAAAGTCTCCTTTCAGGAGCCTCAGGAGAGGGATAAGCACAGAATTTGGAGTCAGAAAAGCAGGCCTATTGCACAGGCCAGCTGGAGGCACTGGGAAAGCCCACATCTGTCACTAGCAATCATATCTGCCCCCGGGTGTCAGCTGAGATGACACGTGTTGTAAAAAGGCTGAGCAAATGTCAGCTGCTGTAACCTTGCCACAAGAAATCAGATCCACACCAGGGAGACTCCCAAGTCAGGCTTATTTTACTCCAGTTG